ATTCTATTCTATTCTATTCTATTCTATTCTATTCTATTCTATTCTATTCTATTCTATTCTATTCTATTCTCTATTCCATTCCATTCCATTCCATTCCATTCTATTCTATTCTTATGGATATTAAAACATATGAAAAATGGTTGCAGGATTTGGGTTTGGCCAGTCTGCAGAAAAGGACTAGGTGGGGACATGACAGCAGTCTTCCAGCATTTGAGGGGCTGCCACAAAGAGGAGGGGGTCAATTTATTTTCCAAAGCACCTGAAAGCAAAACAAGAAACAATGGATGGAAACTAATCAGGGGGAGAAGCAACCTGGAATTAAGGAGGAATTTCCTAACAGTGAGGACAATTAACCAGTGGAACAGCTTGCCTTTTGTAATCATAGGCACTTCATCACTGGAGGCTTTTAAGAAGAGACTAGACAGTCACTTATCTGAAAGGGTCTAGGTTCTCCTGCTTGAGCAGGGGGCTCGACTAGAAGACCTTCAAGGTCCCTTCTGATTGATTGATTGATTGATTGATTGAAATGGCGTTCACATAATCCTGGGACAATGTGACCATTGTAAATACATAGTAGTTGCCAAGGCCTTCATTTTTGATCACGTGATGTTGTAAGTGCGAGGGCCAGTGGGAAGTCACATTTTCAGGGCCGTTGCAACTTCGAACAGTCGCAAAACAAATGGTCATAAGTCAAGGACCACCTGAATCCAAGTGTAATTTGGGACAGATTTGGGCAAGGGAATCTGGAGGGCACCCCTGGAGCTTCAAACGTGTCCCCTTCTTCAAACTACCTTCCCAGATCAAATAAAAGGTTCCAAGCTTTTGTACAACAGAACAGTTAAATGTTTTTGCGAACATCACAGCCAGAAAATACCCTGAGCAGGTTGTCTTAAACCTGCAAATCATTACAGCTGCATCTCGGCCCATAATTTTTCTTTAACCAGTTTAGAAATATGGAGACATTTCCTGATAGGGAGAACAATTAACCAGTGGGACAATTTGCCTCCAGAAGTTGTCGTTGCTTCATCACTGGAGGTTTTTAAGAAGAGATTAGTCAACTATTTGTCTGAAATAGTGTAGGGTTTCCTGCTTGGGCAGGGGGTTGGACTAGAAGACCTCTGAGGTCCCTCCCCACTCTGTTATTCTGTCATTTTGTCCTTTTCAACCCAGTTTGGTCAACCTGGGTTGAGAAATGCCATCTCCCACACAGGCAAGAAACGTAGAACGGAAGGATCGGGAGGGAGGGAGGACAGAGGTCATCTAATCCATCCCATCACCAACCCAGAAATCTATTTCCATCACGAAATCAATTTGATGCGGGTTCAGTTTAGATATAGCCACGGTTAAAAGCTTCAGGGACAGAAGATGCTGAACTACAATTCCCAGCATGCCCGCCCCACCCCCGTTCACCATATTGGCTGAAGTTGCTGGGGATTGAAGCTTTTTTAAAGAAGGGATCGGACAGCCATTTGTTCAGAGCTGTGATGGCAAACCTATGGCATGCGTGCCACAGGTGGCAAGCACAGCCATTTGTGCCGGCATGCGAGCTGCAGGCAAACTTACTGCACTGCGCATGCGCGAGCCTCACAGCTGATTTTCGGCCAGTTTGAGGTTTTTTAGGCCTCCCAGAGGCTTCGGGAAGGCTTCTGCAGGCTTTTCAGGACGAAAACCAGGCCCGTTTCATCACTTCCGGTATTTCCGGAAAAACAGGAAGTGACGAAACAGGCCTATTTTTTCATCCTGAAAAGCCTGCAGAAGCCTTCCTGAAGCCTCTGAGAGGCCGAAAAAGGCCTCAAACTGGCCGAAAATCAGCTGTGAGGCACACTGCAGATAAGGGGGTGGCAGGGGTGGGTGAGGATTGCACGTGCATGCGTAGGGTGCATTTTCCTTCTGGGTGCTGGCACACAAGTGCGCGCACAATTTTTGGCACGGGAGCCCAAAAAGGTTAGCCCCCACTGGTATATAGGGTCTCCTGCTTGGGCAGGGGGTTGGGCTAGAAGACCTCTGAGGTCCCCTTCCAACCCTGTTATACTGATCCTTCGGGCCATGCCATGTTCTAATAATATGGCATGCGAGCTCAATACCTCCGGCTGCCTTCCATGGTTTGAGAAATGCCACGTTATTTATTTAACAATCTTCTCTGCCAAGGGGTTTTGGTTGCCCAAGTAAAGAGAAGCAAAGAGAAGCACATTCTGGGTCATTTTACCAAGGATAGGGCAGC